TATATATATTTAATTCAAGATTAAGTCAGAGTTTTTTCTTTCACTAAGAACTGAGTGTGGAGATGTATCTGACCTCCAAAGTTTCAGATACATATTTACCTACATTAGTTCTATGAGCAAACTGAAAAATGTTACAGGATTAATATGAAATGATAAACACATAAATGAACATTAAACCTCTTAGAAGAAGAGCCTTATTTTTCTCCTGCTTCTGTAAAACTGTTACTTGTCTGAAGAAGGAATGTTGGCAATCTGAATTTCACTTAACTACGACTTCCTTAATGCGAAAAGAGGAAATAAGATGAAGGAGGGAAGAATCTCCGCAGTTACACGCCACAACCCCTCACATACTGGGAGACATCTTGGTTTTGACAACGGTTCCTCCATGCCACCCTGTAGAGAAAGGGGAAGCACACAGTGAAAATGTTAGAACTTATCTTTCTATAATAGGCATATATCAAGTCCTTTGGGGAAAGAGAACATTGCATCCATAATAAAACACAGGCTCTAGCTGGGCCCAGGAGTTCTGCCTGTTAGATGGAGATGAGCACCACAGTACCGCTTCCTCCCCAACGCCCTCAGGAGAGCACCGGGGCCGAACACAAGGCTGGTTCTGGGCTCTGACAGCAGCAACGGCCAAGGCATCCCCTACTTACTTCAATAATATCAAGATATGTCAGGGAACTTGTAGAGTATGGAGACTCTAAGAGTCTAGAGATCCCTGAAAACAGAGTAAGGAATAAGATTCTCAATCTGTTAGATTGGTTCTTCCCGGATCTACAAAGGGCGTTGCTGGCATAAGCCAAAAGCTGCCATTGGCAGTTCTCCGGGGCATGCGTTGGTCTTTGCAAGTCTTCTCTCACTGCATACATCAAAAGTAGGTAAAATAGTTTAGTGCTTAAAACATACCATGCTCTAATGCCTTGTGGATCCCTGACGACCCTCTTGGCACACGCTACAGCTTGAGAGATGTCATCTTGCAGCAAAACTGTAAGACAGGGAGGGAAGAATGAAAAAGGTTGTCAAAGGAATTTTATTTTAAGTTGAGGTTTAGCCAACTTTATTGGGCTAAGGTAAGAATACTAAGAAATTATTCTATGCTTCCTCCCCCACGCTTTTTAAAATTTTACCGTTGACTAGACCCCCTTCCCCCAGGGCTTTATCTTTCTGGATCTTGGGCACACCTGAGGGAGCCTGGCATGTTTCAAGTTGGTTCAGGATCCTACTTCCAGTACTGTAGCTAAATACCCAAACAACTGTGCTACGGGCCTGGCCCTTACATATTGTAAGTTTTATTCATTGATCACAGATGATTATATAATGGAAACTATTTTTAAAATAAACTGACTGCATGAAAAAAGAATATTCTAAAATGAGTCTTCTCTACTAGGAACTTTAACATTTAAAAACTTGATATCAAATTTGCAATAGCTACACAATATTTTAATCACTAAAATTTTTCACATTATTTCTAATTTTTTTTTGAGAGGTTTTTCACTATAGGGTGCGTGTGCTCGCCAGACAGAGAGACAGAGTGACAGAAAGCCAGAAATCACCCCCCAGAGGGGATGGCCATGCCGCAATCCCTTCTCCTCCATTCTCCTCTCGGGATCTTGGGCATGCACACACATGCGCCTGGCGTGGGTTTTAAGCCACTGGGTCCGGGATGCAAACCGCGGTCGACTACGTGGGAGTCCAGCGACATAGCCATTATGCTAACTGCTGGTTCCCCACATTATTTCTATTTTTAATCTGAGGTTTAAAAAGTATTTGTTTCTCTACTAGTAAACAAACC